CTGAGGCTGAAGCATGAGGCTGAGGCTGAGGCTGAGGCAGGCTGAGGCTGAGGCCGAGGCTGAAGGCAGACTGAGGCTGAGGCTGAAGCAGGCTGAGGCTGAGGCTGAGGCAGGCTGAGGCTGAGGCTGAGGCAGGCTGAGGCTGAGGAGGCTGAGGCTGAGGCTGAGGCTGATGCAGGCTGAGGCTGAGGCAGGCTGAGGCTGAGGCCGAGGCTGAAGGCTGAGAGGCTGAGGCTGAGGCTGAGGCTGAGGCAGGCTGAGGCTGAGGCAGGCTGAGGCTGAGGCTGAGGCAGGCTGAAGCTGAGGCTGTGACTGCGACTGCCGTTGCCACTGCGACTGCCATCGCGAATGCGAGTACGACTGCGAGAACAGCAGAATTCTACAACAGGATTCTCATCTGAATCTTAAGGGGAATGCTTCCAAATATGCTCCTACACATCGCTGTTAGGTTGCTTTGCCGGGATAATTTTTGTTGTAGCTGTAGATGTTGTTGAACTCTCACTGCTGAAGAACTCATTGTTGATCCCCTTCGGTGCATATTGTATTTTTCAATCGAACTGCCCCTCCCGGCGCTCGCACCTTTTGATCAAAGAAAGTCTTCCTCAAACTATGTTGTTGGCCCCTGGTTTACAACAGCAAATTTGCTCCGGTCCCCCGCTCCCGCTTGAGGCTTCCGCGCAATTTGCTGCAGAATCCCGCTCCCGCCTGAGACTTCCTCGCAATTTGCTCAGGCGCCGCGTTCTTGCCATTCAGGAATCGCGCGTTCGCTGGGGACTTCTTCAAATTTACTTAGGTAACTATGGGTCTCTCGCTGGAAACTTCCTTGGTAATCGCAGACCTCACTAGGAAATGTATACCCACCAAAAGTGGTATGATCGAAGACGAAGAGGGCGGGTATCGAGGGTTCGTGAAATGCACGCTGAATGACACTCGAGCATATAAGAGCGAACAGTCTTAAATTATTATTGTTGTTGTTGCTGCTGCTGTTGAACTCTCACTATTGAAAAATTAATTATGGTTGATCCCCCCCCTCCGGTGACCATTGCGTTTTTCAATCGAAGTGCTTTCCTGGGGTTCGCACCCTTTTTTAATCAGGGGAAACCACGGACTGGGCCCATGGCCCCCGAGTTACAGCAACACCAACAACAACATCTCCCGCCTTAAACTTCCTCGCAATTCAGCCAGGACCCTCGCTCCTGCCTGAGACTTCCTCGCATTTTACTCAGGAATCGCACTCTCGCTTGAGACTTCCTTATACAGTATTCAGGCATTGCTCTCTCGGCGCTCTGGAGTCGCGCTCTCGCCACAGACTTGCTTGCAATTTACTCAAGAATTGCGTTCTTGCGTTAGAATTCCCCGCGATTTAGTCAAGCGCCGCGCTCCCGACATTGAGGCACCCAGGAGTCGCGCTCACGCCCAGGACTCCCCCGCAGCTTAAAGAGGAATCGGGATCTCGGTGCCCTTCGTGGCCCCGTTGCAACCCTTCGTGGCCCCCTCGTTGCCCTTCGTGGCCTCGTTGCAGCCCTTCGTGGCCCCCTCGCTGCCCTTCGTGGCTCATCTGCTTGCGCTTCGTGGCCCCCTCGCTGCCCTTCGTGGCCCCCTTCCTGCCCTTCGTGGCCCCCTCGCTGCCCTTCGTGGCTCATATGCGTGCGCTTCGTGGCACCCTCGCTGCCCTTCGTGGACCTGTTGCAGCCTTTCGTGGCCCCTTCGCTGCCCTTCGTGGCCCCGTTGCAGCCCTTCGCGGCCCCCTCGCTGCCCTCTGTGGCCTCGTTGCAGCCCTTCGTGGCCCCCGCGCTGCCCTTCGTGGACCCGCTGTCGCCCTTCGTGGCCCCCCCGCACCCCTTCGTGGCCCCGTTGCAGCCCTTCGTGGCCCCCTCGCTGCCCTTCGTGGCCCCGTTGCAGGCTTTCGTGGTCCCCGCGCTGCCCTTCGTTGCCCGATATATGTGTGCCTTTCGGGGCCCCATCTCGTTCGCCCCCGTCGTGGCCCATATGCGTGCGTTTCGTGGCCCCGCTGTCGCCCTTGGTGGCCCCCCCGCTGCCCTTCGTGGCCCCGTTGCTGCCCTCAGTGGCCCCGTCCTTGCCCTCTTCGGCCCAATATGCGTATGCCCTTCGTGGCCCCCGCTCTTTCCCGCCCGTCGTGGCCCCAAGTGCATGCCCTTCGTGGCCCCGCTGTCGCCCTTTGTGGCCCCCTCGCTGTCCTACGCGGCCCCGTTGCTACCTCAGTGGCCCCGTCGTTGCCCTTTGTGGCCCCGCATTATCTGCCCTTCGTGGCCCCCGCTCGTTCGCGCCCTTCGTGGCCCCCTCGCTGCCCTTCGTGGCTCCGCTGTCGCCCTTCGTGGCCCCCTTCCTGCTCTTTGTGGCCCCGCTGTCACTGTCGGTCTCGCGCTCGCTCTCGCTCTCGCTTGTCGTCGTCGTCGTCGTCGTGGTCGGTCCCCTGTCCGTCCCTCTTGGGGTCGGGTTGCCGCTGATCAGCGCTGGCACTGGCCAGGCCGACGGTCCGCGGCCGCCCCGCCGCTTGCCTGGGCCCGGCCTGCAGGGAAGAAAAACATACCCCCCAAAAGGGATACGATCGAGGCTGGGTATCGTGGATTTGGAAAATACGCGTTTAATGATACTCGAGCAGATAAGAACGAACAGTCTTAAACTGATTGTGTTGAGTTCTCATTTCTGAAAATGATTATTGTTGATCCCCCCACCGGTGCATACTGTTTTTCTCCATCAAAGTGTGCCCCTCGACGCTCGCACCCTGTTTTTTGACAGGGCAAGTCTTACTGCTCAAACTGGGCCCTTGGCCCCCGGGTAACAACAACAACGGCTCCCGCCTGAGACTTCCATGCAATTTAGGCAGGACCCCCGCTCCCGTCCGAGACTTCCTCGCATTTTATTCAGGAATGGCGCTCTCGCTTTGGACTTCCCATAATTTATTCAGGAATCGCTCTCCCGGAGCTCTGCAGTCGCGCTCTCGCTGGAGGCTTGCTTGCAACTTACTGAAGAATAGCCTTGCGTTGGAATGTCCTGCAATTTGCGCAAGCGCCGCGCTCCCGACACCCAGGCACCCAGGAGTCGCGCCCGTTGTGGCCCCATGTGCGTGCCCTTCGTGGCCCCGCTGTCGCCACTTGTGTCCCCCTCATTGTCCTACGTGGCCCAGTTGCTACCCTCAGTGGCCCCATAGTTGCCTTCTGTGGCCCCGCATTATCTGCACTTCGTGGCCCCCGCTCGTTCGCGCTCTTCGTGGCCCCATACGCATTCCCTTCGTGTCCCCGCTGTCGCCCTTCGTGGCCTACTTCGTGCCCTTCGTGGCCCTGCTGTCGTTCTCTCTCGCTCTCGCATTCGCTCGTCGTCGCCGTCGCCGCCGTCGTCTTCGACGTCGTCGTCGTCGTTGTCGTCGTCGTCGTCGTCGTCGTCGTGGTCGGTTCCCTGTCCGTCCCTCTTGGGGTCGGGTCGACGGTCCGCGGCCGCCCCGCCGCTTGCCGGGGCCCGGCCTGCAGGGAAGAAAGGTATACTCCCCAAAAGGGGTTCGATCGAAAACGAAGAGGGCGGGTATCGAGGGTTTGGGAAATACGCGTTATTGGACACTCGAGCATATAAGAACGAACGGTCTTGAGATTGTTGTTGTTGTTGTTGTTGTTGTTGTTGTTGTTGTTGTTGTTGTTGTTGTTGTTGTTGTTGTTGAAGAATAATTATTGTTGATCCCCCCCGTCTGGTGCACACTGTCTTTTCGATTGAAGTGCCCTTCCCGGGGCTCGTACCCTGCTTTTTAGCAGGGAAAGTCTTGAGGGTCAAACTGCGTTGTTGGCCCCCGGTTTACAACAACAGCGGCTCCCGCTTGATACCTCCTCACAGTTTATTGAAGAATCGCGCTCTCGCTTAGGACTTCCTTTGAATTTACCATCGGATCGCGGCTCCCGCTTGATACTTCCTCACAATTTATTGAAGAATCGTGCTCTCTCTTTGGATTTCCTCGCAACTTACCACCGAATCGCGGCTCCCGCCCGATACTTCCTCACAATTTATTCAAATGCCGCTCCTCGACACTCAGGAATCGCGCTCCCGCTACATCTTGCCTGGCGGTTCAAGCAGAATTTACGCTTCAACGACCCGCCCGCTCGACCCGCCCGTCTGGGCCTGTCCGCCCAGCCCGTTAGGGGCTGCAGTCGCCACTCGCTGCCCTTCGCCCGCCTTCGATGCCCTTCGCTGCCCGTGCTGGTTCCGCGGTCGCCTTCGCTCGTTGCCCTTCGTGGCCCCGTTGCTACCCTCAGTGGCCCCGTCGCTGCCCACTGTGGTCCCGCATTATATGCCCTTCGTGGCCCCCGCTCGCAGTCGCCCCATACGCATGCCCTTCGTAGCCCCGCTGTCGCCCTTCGTGGCCTTCTCGCTGCCCTTCGTGGCCCCTTTGCTGCCCTCAGTGGCCCCGCTGTCGCCCTTCGTGGCCCCATATACGAATGCCCTTCGTGGCCCCCGCTCGTTCGCGCCCGTCGTGCCCCCATATGCATGCCTTTCGTGGCCCCGCTGTCGCCCTTCGTGGCCCCTTCTTTGCCCTTCGTGGCCCCGTTTCTGCCTTCAGCGGCCCCGTTTCTGCCCTCAGCGGCCCCGTGGGGGTATCCACGATATGTTCTGTCAAGGGGGTGGTACTAGGCGTTGTTTATGGCGCGACCCATGGCGAAACTTCTTGTTAATCTGTGTTGGAGTGGCTGGCGCAAACCATGGCGAAATCTGAATCGCCACTGGCAGCGCAAATCGTCGTCCTCCCTCCTTTTTGCCCCTCCCTCCACTTCCTCCGGTCCCTTCCTCCTCATTCGCCACTTTTTTTTTTTTTTTTTTTTTTTTTTGTTTGGTTTCAAGGGCTTCAACAACCACACGTGGCAGGGAATGAATATACCCCCCCAAAGGGGGTACGATCGAAAACGAAGGGGGCGGGTATCCAGGGTCTGGGATATGCGCATTGAGTGACGCACGAGCAGATAAGAACGAATGCAGAGATTCGAGGGGTTCCGAGCGAGGGTAATGAAGCGTTGCATGCACGTGCGTAAACTGAAGCCCGAGTGGGAGACGGCCACCAGAAGCGGCGTCCGCACTTGGGAGGCGGCCTGGAAGGAGTGGGAGAAGAGTGTCTCGCTCTACGAGGCCCAGTCCCTGGAGAAGGTCACGGAAGGCACGAGGATTGCTGTCGTGGTCAGATGGGCTCCAGAGGACGTGAAGGCCGTGGTCCGCCAGGCCCTGGGGGCGATCGGCCAGGACTACAACAAGCTGGCCAAGGTCGTCACAGACTACATCGCGAGTGGTAAGGTTTACGAGACCACAGGAGCGCCCCACGGCATCCAGTACTCGAATGATGGGCCCATGCCGATGGACGTCGGGCTGGTGAATGAGAATGGCGACGTGGGTGGCATCTTCAAACCTCCCAAGGGGTACGGCGAGCAGGCGAGGATGGATGCTGGAAAAGGTCGGGACATGGATCGCGACACCTGCAAGAACTGTGGCAAGCGAGGCCATTGGTCAAGAGACTGCTGGGCCCCAGGTGGTGGATCAGCGAACCAGGCGAAGGGCAAGGTCAAGGATAAGAAGGGCGGCAAGGGCGGCACAGAGAAGAAGAAGTGCGACAAGTGCGGGAAGCTGGGCCACGAGACCAAGGACTGCAGGTCACACATCAAGTGCGACAAATGCGGGGAGCAAGGCCACGGGGCTTCGGAATGCATGCCGAAAACAGAGAGTGCTGAAGTCAAGAGGATAGTCAACGAGGAGGACGAGCTGTGGGTCATGGGCGTCGCCGAGAGTGTGAACACCATCGACGACGGCAGCAAGTGCGTGTGGGTCTCGATCGACAGTGGGTCGGATGCCGACGGGTGCCCCCTTGGCTTCGGTCACTCGAGCGACGACGTCGACGACCCTGCCAGAGTGGAGCTGAGGACGGCCACGAACGAAGATATCCAGGATTACGGCGAGCGGAACGTCGGCATCGCGTTCCTGGACGAGACCGGCCGCGAGGTGATGGCCGCGAACCGATTCCGCATCGGAGACTTCAGCAAGCCTGTGCTCAGCTGTGGCATTCGGGTCATGAGAGGTGCCGTCATTCACCTTGAGACGGGGAACAGCTACATGGCGCCGCCGAGCGTGAACGGCACCCAGAGGAAGATACCCCTGACGATGATCGGGAAGAGCTTCTACGCGAAGTGTCGTGTGCTGGAGGCGGGCGCTCGCAGACATCGAGTGGCACCTGTTGTTGACCAAGCGGCTCAAGAGCAAGAGCATGCACCAGCGCCGCCACAAGAACCCCAAGCTGCACCTGCACCGCCACAGGAACCTCAAGCTGCACACGCACCACCGCCAGAACCTCAAGCTGTACCTGCACCACCACAGGCAGGGCATCCACGAGAGATCCTGGGCTCCCAGTCGTCGGTCGAGGCGCTGAGGACACGCCTGAAGGAACTGAGGAGGCTGGGGATCATTGGTGCAGCCATCTACGGCACCAAGAAGCAGCTATGGGAGAGGCTCGTCAAGTGCGAGCACCAGCTGGGCGAGAAGATGAAGGTCAAGGAGGCCCTCGAGGAGCGCCAACGGCGACTTCAGGAAGGCGTCGATCCCGAAGTGCCGAGGGCGCTAAAGGTCCCAGAGAGGCCAGGCGCGGAGACCGTGAGGCAGCATGAGCTCACCCACGCGAAGTTCGAGCCCTGGTGCCTGGAGTGCGTGTTCGGAAAGGGAGATGCTGCACCTCATCGCGGAGTCCAGTTCCTCACGGACAAGGAGCCAGAGGTGCCCGTTGTGCAGATAGACTACCACTTCTTGAAGGGCGACGGCGACGAGGCCGAGGACGCGGCCAACCGCTTCGCCACCACGCTGGCCGTCATCGACTGCGACACGGGTGTCCCTTTGCAGCTCAGCCCCCCAGAGAAAGGAGGCAACCATGACTACGCGGTGACCTCGATCGTGAGCTTCCTCAGGAGGCTAGGCGCCACGCGGCTCAGGCTCAGGAGCGACGGGGGGCCGAGCATCGTCAGCATAGCGAACGCGGTGGCGGCCAAGAGGCTCATGTTCGACAACCGCAAGGTCACAGTGGAGCAGGCCCCCAGGTACTCGTCGCAGTCGCTCGGGGCCGTGGGGGCGCAGCAGAAGATCTCACAGGGCCAGGCCAGGACGATCAGAGCAGCAACAGAGAAGATGCTGGGTATCAATATAGGGCCGAGTCATGTTTGGTGGCCGTGGCTTGTTAGACACGTGGGCTTCACCGCGGAGATGTTCCACGTAAGGTCGAATGGGCGGACTCCTCATCAGGATGCGACTGGCACCGAGTGCCACGGCGTCATCCTGAAGTTCGCAGAGGCCGCTATGTTCAAGCATCCGATGTCGTCGAGTGGCCACGTGACTGGAGGCGGGCGCAGTCGCAAGACAAAGTCGACGTGGGAGAAGGGCATCTTCTTGGGCAAGACCTACGAGAGCGACGAGGTCCTCATGGGGGCGAGCAGCGGGGTGCACCTGGTTAGAACGGTGCGCGGGCTTCCAGAAGAAGACCAGAGCGACCTCGAGCTCGTGGCCAAGATGGTCGGGGTCCCCTGGGGCCGAGGCATCGGCCAGATCGGAAGGCCGAAAGGCAAGAAGGTGGTCATTCTCCCGACTGCCCCGCCTGAGAAGAAGCAGGAGGAGGCAGAGGTCGACGACGCCAAGGAGGAGAAGAAGGTTCCAGACACCGCGGTTGAGAAGGGAGTTGCCGAGGACGGGCACAGCTACGCGAGTGCCAGGAGCAGGACAGGCAGCGGCTACATGGAGGACGTGGGGCCCCCTACACCGAGGCAAGAAGCAGGCGACAGCTCGTCATCTCGTCCTGCCCAGCCGACTGGGGAGTCAGAGGTCCCAGAGATCGAGATGGGCACCGTTGGAGGCGTCGACGGCTTCGTGATGGACGAGGTCGACCCGATGCCCGTCATGGACCCAGAGATGGACATCGACTGGCACGAGGGCGAGTGCGACGTTGACCTCGTCAAGGCAGGCAAGTGCAAGGATATCGACGCGATGCAGGAGTTCGATGTGTTCGAAGCCGTGTCGCCTGACGAGATAGACTCTACCTGGGCAAGGCTGTCGACCAAGTGGGTGTACCAGGAGAAGGGCGAAGAGATTCGCTGTCGCTTCGTCGCCAGGGAGTTCAAGAGCATGGACCCCGAGCGCGAGGGGCTGTTCGCGCCGGCCAGCGAACCCGCGACTGGCAGGCTCATAGATTTCAAAGCGGTGAAGCGGAACCAGCCCACAGTCATCATTGACGCCGTCAACGCCTACTTCCACGCGGACCAAGACAGGCTCGTGGCAGTTGTACCGCCTCGGGAGTGGATCGAGGCAGAGGCACTCAAGGGCAACGCCACGAGGACGATGTGGGGGATGAAGAAGAAGCTCTATGGCGAGAGGGACGCGAGCAGAGGCTTCAGCGACTTCATGAACCGTACTCTCGTCTCAGAGATGGAGTTTGAGCAGTGTCCTGACCAGCCATGCTTCTATCGTCGAGAACGGGATTCAGTGGACCTGAGGCTTCACCAGGATGACATCTACGCGACCGCCGACGACATCAAGCTTCAGGTATTCACGACCGAGCTCGGCAGTAAGGTCAAGATCAAGGTGAGCAAGTTATTCAAGGTGGGTGCGGAGTACCAGCATCTGAAAGAAGGGCGAGTGAGAGTTGAGGATTGCATGTTCTTGACTGGCAACAAGAAGTACGCAGACAAGATCATAGAGCTACTGAACCATGGCAAGGCCAAGAGCTCGCCCACGCCCATTGTGACGAAGCTGCTGAAGGAGGACAGCGAGCACCCTCTGAACGCCGAGGAGACCAGGCTCTACCGACAGTGCGTGGGCATCGCGAGGTACATGGTCAATTACGTCACCGAGGCCACGTTCGCTGTTCACGTGCTGAGCAAGAGGTCGGCTGCGCCCACCGACAACGACATGAAGAGGCTCAAGCACCTCGGCAGGTATCAACTTGGAGTTCGTGACTATGCGCTGTTCTTCCCTCGAGCTGGAGAGGCAGATATCTTGGAGTGCTGCGCCGACTCGGATTGGACTGGAGACTCCATCGACAGAAAGAGTGTGTCATGCGGGGTGTTGTGCTGCGGCGGCTGCGCGCTCCTCGAGCATTCGCGCGGCCAGAGCAGCCGTGCGCTGAGCTCAGGGGAGGCGGAGTACGACGCGTCAGTGACGGCCGCTGCCGAGGCGATCCACCTCCAGAGCGTGATGGGGTTCCTGGACATGGACGTGAATATCAAGATCCGCATGGGCTCTGCTGCGGGGAAGGCAGTCTGCCACCGCATCGGAGTGGGGGGGATTCGCCATCTGGAGGTCCGCACTCTGTGGCTCCAAGCTAAGGTGCGAGACAAGAAGCTGGTGGTGATCAAGCAGGCTGGGGAGACGAACCTAGCCGACGTGGGGGCCAAGGCGCTGACGAGTCAGAGGTTCCACTGGCTGAGGACGCAGTTGGGACGGCGCCCGTTGGCGGGCGCGGATGACATGGAAGAGAGCGCGGCTGTTCGGGTCAACTTCGTGAGCGACTCGACGTCCAAGATGGCGAGGGTCGGCGCGGCCCTGGTTGCTCTCCTGGGCAGCCTGGGGTCGGTGAAGGCAGACGGTGAGTGCGACATCTACGGCTGCGAGACGGACAAGAAGGAGATCATCTTGAAGGACGCGCGCCTCGGGACTGGCGTGCACCTCGAGGGCGTGATGCTTATCGTGGCCATGGTCTTCATGGTGATCGTGGCATGCGCATTTGGCAGCTGTGCTGGCTGGTGCGTCGGCTACTTCGCGAGGCCGAACCGCGCCGAGGAGAGCAAGCAGATGGGGGAGAAGGTTGAGTTCCCCCAGAGGGTCACCACGGCCAAGAAGGGGAAGATCGAGAGCAGGACCGTCTCGACCCAGAGCCAGGCGACCTACTCTTGGCATCGAGAGAGTCCGAGGTTTGTTCCACTCGGAGAGAGAGAGCTCAGGGTGCCTGGGCCGAGTGACGTGAGCGGCCTGATGCGGTATCCCGCTGGAGGGTCGAGAGGACCGCCAGCTGAAGGGCTTGAGCGACACCGCAGTGACACGTTTTGCCAATGGCGCGCAAGAACAGGTTTCCTTGACTGTTGTGTACTGTTCCTCGTTGTGCGGTCTGATCAGCCGCCTCGTAGAGCCTCCGACGTCGCCCTCAGGGGGCGTGCAGAGGTTCGAGGGGTTCCGAGCGAGGGTAATGAAGCGTTGCATGCACGTGTGTAAACTGAAACCATTTGTGATCAATATCGCCCAGGCCTGAGGTGAAAAGGATCCGACCTCCACCTCACGTATTGCTCAACAACGAACAGTCTGAACATGATTGTTGTTGTTGTTGCTGTTGTTGCTGTTGTTGTTGTTGTTGTTGTTGTTGTTGTTGTTGTTGTTGTTGTTGTTGTTGTTATTGTTGTTGTTGATGATGTTGGATACTCATTTCCAATGCATAATTATTGCTGATATCCGGAAGCGGTTCCGCGCGCTCTCGCCTCGACGCCGGCAACATTTTCTCTGAAAACGAGGCTCCCGTTTGAGCGTGGGCTTGAGCGTAAATGTGGGCCCTTGGAGGCCCAGCTACGACAACAACGGCTCCCGCTCGATGTTTCCTCACAACTTGCACCGGGCCACCCTGGCCAGAGAGACCCCCGAATTCAGGAACGGCGCTCTCGCTCGAGACCTCCTCGCAATTAAATTAAGTTGGCGGAGGCCCAGCCACGACGACATGGGCTCCTGTTCGGTATTTCCCCACGATTTACTCGGAGAGCCCCTGGCCAAGAAGGCCCCCGATCTCAGGACTGGCGCTCTCGCTCGAGACTTTCCCGTAATTCGCGCAAGTTGGTGGAGGCCTGGACATGGCGACAAGGGCTCCCGTTCGATATTGTAGAGGCCTCCGGCCGGTGCCGCCGATCGGGGACGATCCCGCTGTCAGAAGGACACTTTCGCCCCAGCGCGGGGTGATGTTTTCCCTTCTCCGCGCTACGCTTCAGTTTTGCAGACAGTAGAAATATCGGGGTCCGAGTCTTTCCGCATCCTCATCGTTCCCTCCTTGTCCCTCCTCCTTCCCCCGTGGCCCTCGTGCTCTTCCCGTTCCTCCCACTCCAGTTCCTCCTAAGGGATGGTCTGGAAGGGTAGGGCGTCAGATATGACGCGAGCGCACCTAACTTGGGGATTCTCGGGGTTTCTTGGGGACTCCTAGGGCCATTTTGGTGCCTCCTGGGCGCCTCTTGGGCCGTCTTGGGTCCTTCTGGGGTCGTCATGGAGCCTTCTTGGGTGCTTCTGGGGCCTGTCCTGGGGCCCGCTTGGGCTGTCTTGGGGGCCTCCCGGGCCGTCTTAGGCCCTTCTTGGGCCGACTTGGGGCCCTCTTGAGAGCCTCTGGGCCTGTTTTGGGGGTCTCTTGGGCCGTGTTGGACACTGCGAAGGGCGAAGAAGCGAAAATGCAAAACATGTATGCTTTTCCGTTTTTGGGCACTCTTAGGAGGTGTCGGGAGGGCACGTTGGAGGCTTCTGGAGCCGTCAGAGGCACATATTGGGTGTCTTGGAGCGATGTTTCGGCAATCGGCACTCGTGGCCCTCTTGGGCCGTCTGGGCGGCCGCTGGGTTTTTTATGAGCCCGCGTTCGAGCTCTCCGGGGCGAGGGGCAGACCCGGAGTGAGCTGGAGCCCCGATTTTGCCACCAAAATTAACTCGACCCCCCCCCTACCCCGGCAGAACCCCCCCGGCACCCACCCCCCAGCAGAGCTGAAGCTCAAGATCTGAGGCTCAGGCTATATCTGAGGGTCTTTGAAACTCACACGCCCGATCGGCGGAATTCTCTATAGGTATTCCGAGAGCCCCTGGCCAGAGAGGCCCCGAACTCAGGAACGGCGCTCTCGCTGGAGATTTCTTCGCACTTCAGTCGATGGCCGACAAGGAAAATATTCCCCCCGAAAGGGGGTGCAATCGAAGACCAAGTGGACGGGTATCGAGGGTCGGAGTATAAATAATGCAAGACACGCGCGCCAGTAAGAGCGAACAGTGTTAAAATGATTGTTGTTGTTGTTGTTGCTGTTGCTGTTGCTGTTGCTGTTGTCGTCGTGGTCGTCGTCGCGGTCGTCGTCGTCGTCGCCGTCGCCGTCGCCGTGGCCGTCGCCGTCGCTGTCGCCGTCGCCGTGGCCGTCGCCGTCGCCGCCGCCGTCGCCGTCGCCGTCGCCGTGGCCGTCACCGCCATAACCGTCGCCGTCGCCGTCGCCGTGTCGCCGCGTCGCCATCGCAGCCGTCGCCGCGGCCGTGGCCGTGGCCGTGGCCGTGGCCGTCGCCGTCGCCATCGTCGTCGTCGTCGTCGTCGTCGTCGTCGTCGTCGTCGTCGTCGTCGAATATTCATTTCTCCAGACCGATTACTTTTGAAATCTGGAAGCGATTCTGGGCCCTCTCGCCTCGATGCCGGCTACTTGTTCTCTCAAAACGACGCGTCCGCTCCAGCGTGGGCTTGGTTCCAACTCGGGGCCCATGAAGACCTGACTACGACGACAAAGGCTCCCGCTCGATACTTCCTCGTACTTATAGACGGTTCGCGTAAACCCACCAGCCCATCCAGAAACGATGCCCAGATGAATTGTGCTGATCAGAGGTGTGGAGGAGCATGCAGTGGAATAAAGGGCTGGGTAAGACGTCATACCCTAAGACGGGGAGGATGGAGGAGGAAGCAGAGGAGCAGGAGAAGGACGGACATGGGGGAGGGGGAGGAGGGAGGAGAAAGGAGGAGGAATTGGCGGAGGAGGAGGAGGAGGAGCAGAAAGGCCTGAAACCTCTTGGATACTTCATGGAGTCCTCGTGAGGTGTCGGGGGGGTCTCTTGGCAGTCCCAGATATCCCTTGGGGCGTTTTGGGTGCCTCTGAGGAGCCTCTTGGGCCCTCGTTGGGGTCTCTTGGGAGCATCTTGCAAACATCTTGGGGGCCTCTTGGGGCCTCCTAGGCACCTATTGGGGTCTTCTTGGGGCACCCTTGGGAGTCTCGGGGGCCATTTTGGGGCCATCTTGGAGTCAATTGAGGGGCCGTAGTGCATTCGGCTACCCCCCCCAGAGGCCACAATGTTGCCAAAATCTTAGAAGCATCAATGATTTTTGTCCTTGGGGGCCTCTTGGGGGCCTCTTGGGACCCCCTGGGCCTCCTTGGGAGCCTCGGGGGGGGGCCATCTTGGGGCTAGTTTGGAGGAGATCGTCAAAGGAGCGGGGGTCCTTAATTAGGGTTACCCCCCCCCCTCCCAGAGGCCAACATGTGCCAGTAACTTGGTAACATCAATGGTTTTGGTCTTCTCGCCGAGGCCTCTTATGGGCGTCTTGGGTGCCTCGGGGGGGCCTCTTGGGGCGTCTTGCAAGCATCTTGGGGGCCTCTTGGGGCCTCCTGGGCACCTATTGGGGTCTTCTTGGGGCACCCTTGGGAGTCTCGAGGGCCATTTTGGGGCCATCTTGGAGGAGATCGATCAAATGAGGGGCCGTAGTACACTAGGTTCCCCCAAGAGGCCAACATGTGGCCAACACCATAGTAACTTCAATGATTTTGGCTTTCTCGCCGAGGCCGTTTTTGGATGCTCTAGCCCCTGGCAAACCCCCTCCAAACCCAGGGGGAGGGGGAGGGGGAGGGGTCAAGCTACCCTCCTAGATAGCAAGCCGGTTAGCTCACTCCCACCCGCCCTCCCGGCACAGACGAGTGACCCCCCGGTGTCAGCAGATCGCCCAGGAGCGCCGCACATGCCATGCGCCGCCGCGGGTTCCAGGTGTGCACCAGGCACCCTGCAGGCCCAAGAGTGCCAGGTGCGGCACATGCTCCACGTGCGTCAACTGAGCGACGCAAAATGCACGGTCGACTGCGCCGACATTCGCGCGTAAGCTCATCGCGTGAGGTCGCGCGTAAGCGCTCTCGTTTCCAAAGTAGCGTGTCGCGCCGGCGGCCCGCCCGCGTAAGCCACCGCGAAAGGTCTCTACGTCATCTCGCGTAAGACCCGTTCTTGATCGTCGCCCAACTGCGCCACGTGCTCCAGTCGCGCCAGCTGCGGGGAATCATTCGGGACCCCAGGTGACCCGGGCTAGGACTCCGAGGAGCTCAGGCTCTTGAGTGCTCCCCTGAAGCGAAGTGCCGAGCATTCTGTGAGACTGGCCGCTCCTCCAGGGAGCGCAGAGCACCGCCACCGATGGTCAAATTTTGACATCTCGATGGGAGCTCAGAGAAAAGAGGGCCCTGCGCATGCTCCAGACTTGGTGCCGAAGTGTGTGTTTGCATCTTTTTAAACAGGGGTGGTTGGCCTGCCCTCAGTAAGCAATACGCGGCACCCCCGCCGTCCCGGTCAAAAACCAATGTCGCGGGGCGCCCGCGCATGCTCCAATTTTGAAGGGAAAGTGCATGTTGTATTGTTTTTTACAGGGATGGTGGAGGGTGTTCTCATTGGTCCACGCTGGCTGCCGGTCGCCTGGGGGAAGGGGTGTTTATCAACAGGGACAATGATAGACCCCTCGCCGAAGGGGAAGAAGTGGGTTGGATGAGGAAACTCACCGAGCCACTCACGGCCTAAAAGGGCTGGTGGAACTTACTCCAGGACGCCTCGGCCAGAGAGACCCGCTCGAGCCTTCCTTGCAAGTCACTCGAGTTTGAAGGCCCGGCTCCGACGACAACGGCTCCCGCTTGGCATTTCTTGGTATTTTCCCCAAGACGCTTTAGGGAGAGAAGCCTCCGAACTCAGGATCGGCGCCTTCGATCGAAATTGGTCGAAAGCCTACCGAAACTTGTGAAGGCCCAGTTGCGGCTTCAACGGCTCCTGCTCGAGACTCCTTCACAATTTTCTCGAACATGTCCTGGCCAGAGAGGCTCACAAACAAAGGAACTGCGCTCTCGCTCGAGACTTCCACGCAATTCAATGAAATTGGTAACGGCCCAGCTGCGACGACAACGGCTCCCGCTCGATACTTCCTTACAAATTACTCGGAGACGCTCTGGCCAGAGAGGCCCCGAAACTTAGGAACAGCGCTCTCGCTGGACACTCAATTATAAGTCAGGCTCATAACGACTCACCTGCGACGAGAACGGCTCCCGCTCGATACTTCCCAAACATTCATTCAAAGACGCCCTGGCAAGAGAGGCCCCCGAATTGAGGTACAGTGGAGACCCATGCCAAGAAACACCCTGCTTGCCTTCAGGGTGCCCTGGGTTTCTTGGGGTTCGATGGTTTTGCTATAGAAGGCGTGACGTTCCCACGCCAAACATCGATGGACGCCCTGGGGTCTCAGGGCTGGGTTTCTTGTGGAAGGTTTCTTGTGGACTGGCCTGCACTGAACGTCGCTCTCGCCCGAGACTGCCTCGCAATTCGATCAAACATCGGTGAGCTGCCCATGCGGGCGCACGGGCTCGCACTGCGGCCACGGAATTGCGCGAGGCGCAGGCCGAGTACGCTGCGGAGGTTAGTTTTTTTCTCCCGGGAAGTGGTGTGAAAAGAGACACCCCCCAGAAAGGGGGGTTGTTCATAGAATCGGCGTTAAGTCGGGCGCGTCCCTCTACAGGAGGAATGTTCGGAAATAGTAAAAAATAGTCTGGGGACGATGTCTGGAGCATTTTTGATTGTGTTCGAATACTTTGGCTGTTTTTATTTTCGTCCACAATCCGCATGTATGGGGACATGCCCGACCTAAAGTTAGCGGGCGAGTGAAGGGGAGAGGGAGGCACAAATGAAGGCCAACATTGCTTTCGGCATCACATGTTCGCAAGATGCTTGTCGTCGTTGTTGTCGTCGACGTCGTGGTGGTCGTCGTGGCCGACTGCGGGAACGAGAGCAAGCAAGCGTAGGGCACCAGTCAAAGAACAGCCAGTCTGAACGGCCATATAGTACCGAGCGTGAACAGTCGACTGCGACAAACAGGGCCAGTTCCTTAGAACACGATTGCAACCCCCTAAGAGCTTTTGCTGCTTGGAGCTTGTAGGTGCAAACTTTTCGGATGCCAAGGCTGAACGAGCCCGCGTCTTGATCATTGGGTCGCAAGAATCCGTCGGTATACTCATTGGCCGACACACAGCAGGCGTATACACACATATATGTTTATATGTATATGTATATATATATATATATATATATACAGGCATCTGTAGATCAAGTTGCGACAAGGAGGGCCACAGGCATGGGCATAGGCATCGGCATTGGCATGATATGCGTACGCCCATCATGCTCGAGAGCATTGCTTCCATGGCTGAGCATGAAGGAGACCTTTTGAGAGTGTGTACCACTTCTAGGCTGCGGAGCGTTCTGCTAAGGTTTGAGATGCTTGATTGATCTGTGGAAAGCGGTTTTGCACCACAGGGGATTCCTTGGCGAGTTCACACCACCGAAAGCTCAGAGGGAGCCCCACGTCCGATCTCCCTTGCAAAATACAGGGAGGTACACGAATGTCTTGCCAGGTCTACTTGCTCGTTGATGTCATGACCGTTTTACCGTCGCCGCCACTACGCACCACCTAAGGCCATCATGGCAGCTCTCACCAAATGACACACATACGTCAATGTTTTCGGCAGCTCTCACCAGACGACAGCTATCACCAAACAGCAGCTCTCACAAGACGACACCAAACGACATCCCACCTTGCGGTGGGACGATGAGGAGAAACAGCAGCAGGAGGAGGATGAGGAAGAGCAGGAGGAGGAGGATGAGGATGAGGATGAGGGCGAGGATGATGATGATGATGATGATGATGATGATGATGATGATGATGATGATGATGATGATGATGATGATGATGATGATGATGATGATGATGATGCTGACGATGATGATGCTGCTGCTGATGCTGCTGCTCATGATGATGCTGATGCTGCTGCTGATGATATGATCATGATGACGATGATGATAATGCTGCTGCTGATGATGAGGAGGCTGCTGGTGATGATGCTGCTGATGACGATGCTGCTGCTGATGCTGATTATGATGGTGGTGGCGGTGATGATGATGTTGATGATGTTGATGATGATACTAATGAGGATGAGGATGATGATGCTGGTGATGATGATGAGGATGATCATGATGATGCTGATGATGATGTTGTTGATGATGATGAGGATGACGATGATGATGATGATGATGATGATGAGGATGAGGATGATGATGATGATGATGATGATGATGATGATGCTGATGATGATGATGATGATGATGATGATGATGATGATGATGATGATGATGATGATGAGGATGAGGATGAGGATGAGGATGAAGATGAGGATGAGGATGAGGATGAGGATGAGGGTGAGGAGGGAGCAGGAGGAGGAGGGGGGATGAGCTCCAGCCTTCCAGCAGCCTAATCAACTCATCGAGTCTGTCACGGCATGAGCCCTTCGCGAGGGAAGGGAGGACGAGAAGCAGAAGGAGGACGGGGAGGACTGGCGCAAGTTTCCCCCCCCGCAAAGGAGATCTGGGACCGGGAGCACCCCGAGGTGGCGGCCAGCCTGCGCAGGTGCGAGCAGACCAAGCTGGACCTCCAGACGGCGACCGCCGAGCTGGTCTCTATGACGAGCATCATGAGCGCGTCGGGCGCCAGGGCGACGGCCGCCTCGTAGGGGCGTGGCCGGCACGGCGGCGCGGATGCGCAAAACCCGTTTTGACCTCGTCGTCCTCGTCCTCGTCGTCGTCGTCCTCCTCCGCCTCCTCCTCATCCCCCTCCCTAATTGCTTCTCTTCCTCATCCTCCTCATTATCCTCTCTCCTCTTCCTCCCCGCTCCTTCTCATCCTTCCCCTCATCCCTCCTGTTCTTCCTCATCTTCCTCCCTTCTCCTCCGTCGTAGCCATTTTGGCTCAAGGTGCTTTCCTGGGAGGCTGCTCGGCCTCCAGGCAGACTGGATTGCACTAGTCCCTGCAAGGTTTCAGCATCTCCGCCTGGCCTGCCGCATGTGCGGAGCGCGGCAAGTAGTTGCAGCACCGTCGCGGCATGTCGCCACCTGCGGGCAAGGCCATTCTGCGTGGGGCCGAGCTGCCGACGTGGGGCTAGCAGCAGGTGCGAGAGGACGGCCAACTGTTCGTGTCGCGTGGCCTGCCGGTGCGGCGCCAAGGCCCCTGCAGACGTGGCCAAGCGCGCGCGGGCCGTCCACGACAAGCTTGAGGCGGGCGGGCGCTCACCCAAAGGCTCCGATGGCGGTGGCGGCGGCCAGAGGAACCTGGCTGCAGCGCTCGCCAAGCTCACGAAGGAGGTCGCCTCGCTCAAGCAGGGGGCTGCCGCTGAGCCCTAGAAGGCCCCGCCGCCCGCGCACGTCGACGACCCGCTTCAGGTCCAGATCGACGCGATGGAGGCCACGGTCGCCGGCTACAAGAAGGCTGTTCGTGAGATGTGCGAAGATGCCGACTTCGACCCCGACCCCTTCAAGCGTCTCCTGGAAATCAAGCATATCTTGCGTCATGCCGCGCGTCAGGTAAAACACAAAATTCTGGAACTGGGTCCTGAGTGGGAGCGAATCTAGCAATGCGCATTCGTCTCCGCCGTGCTGCTCGTGCAGATCTGCGGCATTGTTACCAGGAGCTCCTTCGAGCTTATCCTCTGCTTCAGGATTTCTATAGCTGGTCTCACGCGTTGGACTGGCTGGTTATCTTTCCACCGGCATGTATCTCAGCTCGAGCGTGCTGTGCTCCATCAGCGATAGAGTGCGATCCATGATGATCCGGGTCTTTCTGAAAGTGCCAACCTGCCTCAGGCAGCCAGTGTTCGGCGCCTCGTCGCCGCGTGGGCTTCCAAGCGTCCCCGTCTTTCTGCAGGAAGCTGCCCCTCTTTCCCCCCCGAGTTGGTCAACGTGGTACCGAAACACACATCAGCGTGTTGATTGGATTGCCGATCGTGCTGCGCTGAAGCAGCCGTTCCAGGGGAAGAAAGGAAACGGACCCTGGTCCTGGCGGTGTTTCATGTTGTTCGTGGCGAGTCGCAGGCGACACAGCAGTGGGCACTTTGCATGCGGCCTTCTTGCGCCGTGCCAGTTGCGCTGCACACCTCAGCCCGCTCTTCACCCGTTGTCGCGCCGCGTGCTTGCCGAAGGGTGCTGGTGCGAACGGCGGGGCCGAAACGCGCGAAGCCGCCTGGCGCGCGTCTCCTCTCCGGCTCTGACGCCAAGATCCTCTCCTCCCTGATTGCCAGGCCGTTGAATTTCGTGGCTGGTGATCTTGTTGATCGCTCTCAACGGGGATTTGTTGCTGGTAGGGCTACGCTTGAAAACATGTGTGGACTTCGATGCTTCGTTCCGCGCGGGTTGCCTGCAAGGAGGCAGGGGGGGGTTCTTTGGGTGCCAGGTTTCACCGCGAATGTGCATTCAAGGTTTTGGAGCTCCATCTGTGTCCTGGCCTTAGTACTACTGCCGTTGGCCTTCTGTGTTCTGATGCGGGTCACTACAAGTATTCGGAAAAGGTATTTCTACTAATGATGATATCGTTTTTTGGGCCCAGAGTGGGGTGAAACAAGGTTGTCCGCTGTGTGGGGTGTAGTCTGCTGTCGTGGGGTGTATAATCTTAGGAGCCAGCTTGCAGTGCCGATGAGCATGCCTGGCTTCGCCGGTGACCTAGCGCTGGTCTCCGTGAATATTTCCCTCGTTATCCCTGCTGTGTGCGCCGAGCTGACAGATGCAGGTCTTGTTTTCAATCTCAGTAAGTGTCACGTCGTGCTCACGTCGCATTGTGACTGGAATTAGATGAAGACACTTGTGCAGCTCGCGGACTTGGCGTCTGTCGATTCGATCACAGGTGTGCTGGAAAATTCCTCTGTGCTTACAATGACCTACGTGGGCCGCGACTTTCCTGGGCTGCTCCCGTGGCAAAACTTACGGGGCGTACAATCAGGCTCGGGCCCTGGGGCTTTCGTTTGTAGCGTCTAGTCCAGCCTATAACCAGTACGCCGTGCCGGTAGTAGGTCATGTTGCCCAGTGCTTTGATCTTCCCAGTGCTCTCGTTGAAGTTGTACGTGCACGACTCTAACTCTTAATGTGGGCTCCTCGTCATGCGTTCGCGCCGCGTGCTATGCATAGCCTGAATGATATGGGATTCTTGGTAGAACCGAGGCGCGCCGTTCTTGCTGTTAAGTATGCCCTTCTTCGTGCTTGCACTCTGTCGAGTATGTTGAAAGATACGGCCCCCGGATTAGGAATGCAAGCCAATCTCGGGAAGCTTCTTTTTATGCCCTCGCTCATCCTTTTCATGCCGTTTCTGTCGTTCATCATCTGTCCCGCTGCTTGATTATTTTGTGACCCATTGTGCTCCGTATGATCTCCCGCCCAAGCAACTTCGACGCACAATGTGCCAGTTTCTTCGTGCACGCCGACATGTACCCAGTGATGGCGAGCTCGTTCGTGCCCGCGCAATGCGTTGGACGACAATACAACCTGCTCCAGCCCATTGTGATCGACTTGTTATTCTTCTTGTTGGCCATCGTCTCCCCTGTCTTTGCTTGACGGCTACGTTTAAAACCGTCTTGAATGCATGGCCGACGTCCAAGCGTTTTCGTTTCGGTGCTGGAGGGTGCGTTTTGGGATGCTGTACTTTAGGGGGTGATTCGATCTTCCACGATAGTACTGTCCCTATCTCTGTGCCCGTTGTTCGGTCTCTCCTTGCCTCGCTACCCCCCTCTTGTGGCTCCGATCCACTGTCAGTCATTTTGTCCCATCTTTGGGTGACCCGTAGCAGTGATCCAGTTATTGCTCACAGTGTGCTTTCGATTCTTTCTTTCCAGCATTCAATGCATCCCGCGCCCGTGGCGCCCGATCCATCAAATATGCTCAGGATGCAATTCGTGTTCGTTCTCGCGTGATCGCGAGATGCCCCGCACGAATTCGGCAGCTTCTCCTCAGGTAGTCGTGCGTCTATGTGCCTCTCCTGTTGTCTCCGCTCCTCCTCGTCGTGTCGCTTTCCGCCCGCATCTGGCCATCGTAATGCCCTGCCCGACGCCCTGCGCCACCAGGCGCGCTGGGGCTGGGGCTGAGGGCAAGAGCTGGACGGGGACTTCTCTCCTCCCCTCTTCAAGGCATGGCACTCCTCCTCCTCCTCCTCCTCCTCCTCCTCCTCCTTCTCATCCTCATCATCATCATCCTCCTCCTCCTCCTTTTCCTCTCAGTGTGGCGACGACGGCGATGATAATGACGATGACGACGACCCTACCCCCACCCGTCCCTGCGGGTTGCGGCGCTGCAGGACCAGCGGGCCTACGAGGAGGAGATGACCGGCCTCAAGGCGGAGCAGGCCCGTCCCTGGAGCCACTGCGCGGAGGAGGATGTCGACGACGTCGAGGGGGCGGAGGAGGAGGGAAAGGAGAGGGAGGAGGAGGGGCATGAAGAGCCCCAAGAGGGCTCGTGCCCTCTTACGACGCGGACTAAAATCACTAGGTCGCAGCATCTTTTTCCTGTCCCTCGTCGAACGCGGGTCCCCCCCGCGCGGGGGCGTCGTGCTGTATCTCTCAGTGGAGCACCAGCAAAACGGCCAGGCGGTGAGACCTGGCGGTAGGCGTCCTTGCGCCATTCTCGAGATTAGGGCCCTCGAGGGATCTGGCGATCTTGGGCCAGTCAAGCATTTATCCGTATGGGCTTCGCCCTCAGCGGCCGGCCCCCTCTCTAACATAATGGAAGTGCTTAGGCGCCGTCGTGAAGGTATCTTGGAACCGGAATCGGAACGGATCGGAACCAGCAGAGCATATTGAGATGTTGCAGGCGGCCGGAGGGGAGCTGGAAAGGCGAGGATGATGTCACGGAAGGGGATGGTTTGCTACGGGTCGGTTAGGCCGCGCCTGAGGTAAACGATGTTCAGAGGGAGGTGGGCGGGAGTTGGGGCGATGCCGGGCGGGCTGACGGGTCGGGAGGGTCCCCGCTCTGTGTCGGGCTGAGTCTGCTTCGGCGTGCATTGGCGGAGCCGCCAGCACGCGCCGTCGATGAAGCGGGATCACTGCACCGTAGTGCGCCTAGCCGAGTTGCAGAGCAGATTTTCACCGCCTTCGCATGATTCAGCGTTTGCCTTCGTCAATCTGTTCTGTGAAAGTTCCCCAGCTTCCCCGAGCGTCCTTCGATGTGAGGGAGGTCGTCTGATAACATCCTGTGTAGCCAGACAAGCGAAGACGAGAAAGCCAGTGCAACTGACCGGAAACTATGATAGCAGTGACACATGCACAGGTAAGGAGGGTCGCAACGCAAATCCAAACCAAGCCAAGCCCAAACACGACAAGGCACGGCAAGGCACGATCAGACTATGCAAGGCCATGCACACCAAAACGCAGTAAGACAGGACAAGACAAACAAAGGCAGGACGTAACAGTACAACGCTGCACATCACAAGACACGACAAGTCAACGCGTAGCCGTCATCAGCAGCTTGGTGAGTTGGGGAGAGCGTTTGTGTGGTGGTTGCGGTGTGTAGGGCAGAGTAGGCTAATCTCGTCAAAGCTCGACTCAGCGAGCCTAAACTAGACCGCGAGCCCTGAAGATTTGGGAAGCTACATCCTACATGCTCTGTCCAGCTCGTGTGTTTCCCAGGAGGCCACTAGCTGCTCTCGGGACGCACGGCGAACATCCAAATTCCAGTCGGTGTTCGAAATAAACATGCAATGCTCGGCGGCGAGCGGTTGGGGAGGGGGAAGTGAG